CAAGCCTGCACTTTCTACCAAGGAGAGTTTGCAGTTGACCCAACAGGTGGCACAGCTCCTCGCTGCGGTGTGTCCCCTGGGTGCCGTGAGCCAGGAGCCCACTTTTTCTCCCCTCTGTGTGTTGCAGTCCGGAGTGTGAAGAACAAGCCAGCCTTCTTCGCTGACAAGCTCTACAAGTCCATGAAGGTGCAGACAGGCTCTCCTGGGGCCAGGCTGTGGGAGGGGGCTATGCTGGGCAGACACCCTTTGGGAATCTCTGATTTAACCCCACGGCAGTGATGGGGTTTGGCCCCCGGCCATTCCTGATAGAGCAGAGCAGGGCTGAGCTCAAATACCACAGCAGCTTTCTGGAGTTAGCAGGGGACACAGCAGGCTCATGTCTTGCCGGAAGCAAGCCCAGCGCACATCCAGAGAGAGATTCCCGGCTTGGACTGCGCTGGAGATGCTGGGAGGGTGCTTGGACCCCAGTCCCTCCGAGGTTATTTGCTCAAGCTCCCCTTGACAGGGTGCCGGCACGGATGAGAGGACCCTCACCCGGATCATGATTTCCCGGAGTGAGATCGACCTGTTCAACATCCGGGGCGAGTTCATAGACCTGTTCGACAAATCGCTGCACCACATGATCGAGGTGAAGGGACACAGCCATCCCTCCCCAGCTTGTCACCTTGTCTGGCTGAGCCCTGGCCACAAGCCCTGCAGAGACCCAAGCCATGAGCGGTGCCATGAGCAGCACAGGGGCTGAGCATCACCTGGGGAGGGGGAACCTGCCCCAACCAGCCCTTGTTGGCAGGTCTGGCTGTAGGGGGTATGTGCCGACATCTTCCACTGCTGTGCGGATGCCTGCAGGGTGGCCGGAACATGGAGTTATATGCCTTCCCTGTGGACAGCACCTTGAACTGGGCTTCCCAGGGCAGGCATCACAGAATCATAGAATGGTTTGGGTTGGAAGTGTCCATAAAGATCATGTAGTTCCAACCCCCCTGCCACAGGCAGGGACACCTTCCACTAGACTAGGTTGCTTAAAGCCTCATCCAAACTAGCCATGGACACCTCCAGGGATGGGGCACCCACAACTCCTCTGGGCAACCTGTCCCAGTGCCTCACCACCCTTAGTGTAAAAATTTTCTTCCTTGTATCTAATCTAAATCTATTGATAATCAGCAAGCAGTTCTCTGACACGGATCTCCCTCTTGCAGAAGGACACCTCCGGCGACTACCGCAAGGCTCTGCTGGCTCTGTGCGGGGGGGAGGACTAGGTGGCCACAGGAGCCCCTTCTTCGTGTCTGAGCCAGCACGCGCGCACCCACCGCCTTGATGTCACCGCAGCTTCGGGGCTTCAGGGGACGCTGGGTTCCCTGCTGAGGACGACTCACTTTGCGCTGGAAAGCGGCACCACATTGCAAGCGGGGGAGTCTTGGGGAGGGGAGCAGAGGGGTCTGGGTAGGGGGATTATTGCCTGTCTCAGTGCGAAATAATTGATACCCAAACATGCCACTAACCCAGGAATTTACCCAGATGGAAAAGACAATTTTAAATCTCATAAATAAAACCTTACTGTTGCTGACTCTAGGACCAAGAGAGTCAATTTATTGAGGCAGGTTTGGGTGGGACTGAGGAGTCTCAGTGTCTCCTTGCTCCCGAAGGTGAACGTGGCCAGGAGCCCTGCCCCAGCCCCAGGGAGGGCCCTGGAGATCCTGAAGCCCCTCTGAGCAACCCCGCAGGGTCCCTACCCTGTGCTGAGAAAGGGGCTGGAAATCTTTCTGGGGCTGGCAGCAGCACAGGGATTTCACTGAGACCTTCACTTTGTGCCTCTGAAAACCCCCAGCAGGGTTTGTGCCATTGTGTGGATGATGCTTTTATAAAACAGAGATACAAATCGGACTTGATGGCATCCACCCGTCCTCGAATGCGGTTTCCTGTGCTTTCAAGTCACTGAAGAAGCAGCTGAAAGGCACATGCCACAGAGGCTACACCCCCAAACAGTTTATGTTTGCACTTCCCCCCCCAGCACCCAGGAGAAAAGAACTGGAATTTCCAAAAGTGGGAAATTCCAGTACTTTCAATTGTTTCCAAGTCGGAACAAAAAGTCTGGAATACCCAAATCTTCCTCAGAACAGCCGGGTGAGGAAAGCTTCACCTTGAAACTATCAAAGCAGCATTAGGAATAATAACACAATATTATTATAACACTTCAAAACCAGCTGAGGTTGAGAAGCAGCAACATGTAGAGACAAACCAGGGAAGCTGAAACAACTCAGCTCGTTGTTATTCCACTGAAAATTCCCTTGATGCCTTCCTGTAAAACATCCCCTTGTAACAAAATCACCTTTTTCAGGGGAAAACGGCCTGGCTGAACCTTTTTCACTCTCTCCCATAGAGATTCAGGCTCCTGTGTGTGATGAGGAATGGGCGTCCCAGTTTTGGTGGCACTGGGGTGGGCTGAGCCCGCAGCAGCTCAGGGGTCAGCCGCTTGGCTGGGAGCCTGCTGCGAAGGCTTTGAGCAGGTGCAGAAGATGTTTTAAAAGGAGAATCTAACCCAGATCTTCATCTGCTTGTCTCTTCCTGCGGCTCAGCACTGCAGCTCTCGGCTTCGCAGCAGAGGTGTGAGGCTGCCGGAGCGCCGGGCACAGCACAATGACTGCGGGGAGCAGAGCTGGCCACGTTCCCGCGGCTGGCAGCGGTGGTCTCAGAAACCCGGCTGCAACGTCCAAGGAAGTTTTAGGGCTCAGGAGACAGCCCAGCGCCCCTGGGAGAGACAGATTTGGGGCAGTGGAGCTCCGCTGCTCCAGAGCAGAGGGGGAAATCGGCTTGGCATTAGCACAGGGCCACAACATGTCAGCTATCATCCTGCCGCCTCCTTGTTGCCAAAACACGGGCTCTTGGGTGCGTACAGGAGGGTGTATTCCCTGGGCACAGGCATAAACACTCCAGTGAAATTTCTGGCTGTGCCACAATTGCTGTAAGGCTGCGACTGGTGACTCCATCACCCACAGCCCAGCTGTCTCGGAGCAGCACAGGACTGTGAGTGAGACCAGGCGGCCCCTCGGGGCTGGTCCCCAGCCCAGCTTGGGGTGATGCCGCCAGGAAGCCTGGCTGACCCCACCACGCCAGTCCCCAGGCCAGGAATTTCCCTGGCACCCACTGCTGGCTGCTCCTAGGATGAGGGCAAGATACCAGAATTACACAGCGTTTGGGGATAGGGAGGGAGAGTGAGATGGGATTTCCTCCTCTGAGCAACTCCCTCTCCTGCAAAGTCCTGCTGCCAAAAAGCCTTCGTCTTGCCCCAGCTCCATAGCAATCTGTCTCCAGCAGCGGTTGCTACAGCTGGAGCGGCATTTTAATCACTGCAAATATTTAAGCACACTCAATATCCTATTTAAGCACAGGGTATTTCAGCATCCCACCCCCATGCTGCTGGGGTTGGCAGCAGACGTGGGGCTGCTCACAGTGGGCTGCCCTACCAGGGAGAACCCCGAACTGGACTGAGCTCAGCAGAGCTGCCCACACCAAGGACAAGGCCAGGAGGGTGACAGCATCTTGGGAAGCACAAGCATGGCCTCGGGGACTCACTCTGCACTTGGTGCATTTTCTCCCTGTTCCTCACCCCAGTGCTTTCTCACAGAGGCTGATGAATTTGCAGCCAGCTCCTGTCTGGAGACCTGCTCCCGTTTGGTGTCATGCATCTCCCACTGCCAACCGATTTAAACTCCTGCTGCCTTCCCATCCTGGAGATCATGGGACTCTGCACCAGGCCCAGAGAAATGAGACGCTCTGGTTAAAAGCAGCCACGAGGAAGAAGGTGGCACCGGGCAGGGGTGTTGCTTTAGAAGGACTTAAAGTGATCCAAGAGGAGCCTGGGGGCTGGCAGCACCACGACAGGCTGTGGACCCTGGGACATGGAGAAGCACAGAGGAGTGGAAGAAACCCAGTAAGAAGCACAGAGAAGTGGCAGCCAGAAGATTACACGGGACCTGTCACCTTGCCAAAGAATTTGGGATGGAGTGAGTGTAACCTGCAGTGAAACAAGGAATACTGAGACTAGGAAAGGGAAAGAACCTGTTTGGCCCAAGCCAAGCCTGAGGAAGGAAGAATGCTTGTTTTGTTTAGTACCCAAATCACTCACTAGTAATTTATGTTACCTGACAGTAAATTAAATAAAAATTCCCTGAGTGACAACTGTTTTGCGCATGAATCCCTCTATACATGGGCAGGTCACAGACAAAGCAGCTTCATCCCTGTGGCACCCCAGTCTCCAGAGAAAGTGCACTTCATAGCACAGCTCTCCAGGAACACCTCCGCTCCATCCGCTGGCTCCAACCAGCCCCATCCAAGGGCAATTGGTGGCAAATCTCATGCCTTGCCTCTGTGATCAACAAGAAGGCAAGCAGTTCAAGGAAGGCAAGGAAAGGAAAAGGGAGGACAAAACGATGGGCACAAAAACGGGGAAGAATTAAAAAGGCTATGAATAAGGCAAGGGCTGGAGGCAGGTCCACACCAGCCACCTACGCTTCAGCCTTCAGGGCGGCTGCAGAGAAGCTGCTCCTGAGGTCTGGGATTTACACACCAGCACCCGGCACACGGCTGTTCTGGACATTGACCAGCAATGCCGGGGGCAAGGACTCATTTCCAGGCAAAGCCAATGCCAGGTTTCACAGGTTGCAACATCCAGAAAACCCCACGAGCCCACGTTTGGTGCTCAGACGGTCAGACCTCTCCCTCTGAGTCAGCTCTGGGGCCACTGCAGATCCTCTTTACTACCAGACCCTGGGAGGAGCCACATCTGGTGCAGAGACACACTGGACGTTGGCCTTGGTCCTTGGCCCAATGCTGCAACATCAGAGAGCCACTTCCATCCCACCTGCTGTCCTCCCCTTCCCCCAGAGGGAAGAAACCCAGCCTTGACTTTCAGGAGCTGGCAGAGGTCTCTTCTTCAGCTCTTCCTTTTCCCAAGCCACAGGAGGAAGGAGGAGCCTTGCCCCTCGCATCCATGTGCCGCTCACTGGGCAGCCTGTTCCCCACAGTGAGCTGAGGCTGGGGAGATGGCTGAGCTCGCCGGGGCTGCTCTCCTCACACCATCATCCCTGGACTCAGCTTTCCAGGACATAATGAGTGCTGAGGAGCCCTTTTCGCAGGCATTGCAAGTGGATGAGACATGGCCTGGCAAGAGAGGAAGAGGAAAAAAAAATCCCTTTGTGTTGTTGATCTTGCAAATCTGGACTCTGAATAATTCAAAGCTTAAGGCACATAAGGAAATTCTTTGAGCACTCCCAGATCCAGTTCCCACAGCTCTCGGCATATCCACTGTGGGGCTGCACCATGTCCCACCATAACCCATCCCCTGCTGACTGTGGAGGAGGGAGGGGGAGGATGGCGAGGCTGTGGAGGAAGGCAGGAGGTGGTGATCTCCTCCTTCGAAGCAGGTGACACTGAGCCTTGCCTCACACTCCAGGGAGAAGGGAGTGAGAAGGGAGAAGAGAGCTCTCGTTCAGCAAGAGGGTAAACCCAGCAAAGCCAAAGGAGCCTGGCATCCCTGGAAAGTCACAGTGCAATCCGACCCCCTGCGAAGGCAGGGCGCTGCAGGAGGTCTGGGGAAGCACGATCACTCCCCAGCACCTCCTTTCTCCATCCCTCCACTGACCCCTCGCCTGCCCTGACCCCTTCCACGCTCCTTCCCCCAGCAGCCCACTCTCCCAGGCTCCCTCCCTGCTTCTCCCTTGCCCTCCATCCCAGAGCCCTCCCATCCTGCCACGTTAATTTAAGTTCCTGATTTGCATAGGCAGCAGATCGCAATGTTCTGGAAATCCCCTCCTGTGGCCAGAGCTTCCTCCCCACTCTCACAGCGTCATTGTCGGCCTTCTGCTTCCCTTCCTTTGCCGGAGCACACGGACCCATCTGATCAGCACAACACATCAGCAGCCCCCAGCAAAACCCGCTGCTGATGCCAAGAGGCACCCATCGGCAGCACCCCGCAGTCCCCTGCACAGCTAAGCCCATGATCGGCCCCGGGGTGCTGTGCCAAACTGGCTGCACCCGCTGCCTGCACTGCGGCCCCTCTGCTCCTGCCTTGCTCCGGGGCCAGCTCCCCAGAATGGCCACCCGTGGCAGCTGGCCCCATCACCCTGGCAGGGTTGACATGCACTCAGTACAGCTACCAGCACTGAAGACAGGTGGATTTATTGGGCAATGCGGGCTGCTAGGCCACTTCCACTCGGGATTTGCACCACTGGATATACACAAGGTCCACCCTGGTCACCCCTGAGTGGGGTCAACCCAAAGGAAGATAGACCTGATCCGAAACTAGCAAGAGCAGAGGGCAGGAGAGCTCCGCTACCCCACCCACAGCCTTGTGCTCCTTCGCTTCCCACAGCATGGCTGCAAACACGGAAACTTACAGGGATGCCTTCACGTGAACGAGCCTCCACTGAAAGTGCTGAACCCAACCCTCCATGCCAAAAAAAACCCCTGGTGTGTAAAAGTGTCAGCTAAGAACACATCTTCGCAGCCATGCAGGCGTGCTCATGAATCACAGCTGCCGTCAGGCGAGTTTTCTCTCCTGGGAGCACA